TTTACGTTATCTGTCATATATTAAAAGTTTTACGTTTTTCGGAAATTACAACAAAAACATGTCGTTTAATGATTCTTCGTACAGCGAATTCGTCCTGGTTATAATTATTGTGAATTTGGTTGCAGTAAAATATGCTGATGTTTTGTTGTGTGGTATTTTTATTACTTGTGTCGTGTATTTTTTGTGAGAATAATGTTATTTGTTTATCAGTGATGGGGTTCGAAAAAGTATTGTTGACTAATGCTCATTTTATGTGTTTTTTAGTTTACTCAGAAATATTCTTTGGGAAGGGGAATTTTAGTATGGTCTATTAAGGGAATTTTTTCATCACAGCTTTTTTACATCTTTCCAGGTTTTGACTATCATAGCTCTGCGCTACTAAGATAAAGTTTGATGCTGGTAAAGAGCTGTTTGATGTACAAGCCCTGTCTTATAACGAGATGTTTTTTGAAATTTGATTCGCAAACGATTTTCGTGTTATCGACTAATATCTTTCTTAAGGGCTCTTGCAGATTATAGGTTGATATTTTTAAAAGCACTTTGACCTGATAAGTGACATGTGAGGCACCTACTCAAGGAGGTTGAAGTATGCCCGATATAAATAATTGATTTATGGCAAGAAACGCAGTTTTGTTCTGGGCAGTGAAATTGATACATTATATTGGTCATCACCAGTTTGGATTTAATGGGTTCGTTATCATTGGTCTGCAGTTTTCCATTTTATGTAAAGTATTATTTTGCACGTTTTTTTTTCAGGAATGGCAACTGAAATATGGTTTTTAATGACTTTTTCTTTAGCAAATTCGTCCTACCTATATTTACTGTGCAACTGGTTACCATAAGAAATATAGATATTATGTTGTGTGGTATTTTTGTGACTGGTATTGTGTAACTTTTATAAGAATATTTTTATTTTTTTAACAATGATGTAGTTTGGAAAAGTATTGTTGACTAATGTTTATTTTATGTGTTATTTCATTTACTCAGAAATATTCTTTGGGAAGAGACATTTTGGTAATGATCTATTTAGGCAGTTTTTTTATCATTGCTATTTTATATCTTTCCGGCTACTGATTATTATTATAGTTTAGAAGACAAGAGGTCGTGCTGTTTGTTTTGTTTCATATATATATATATATATATTGCTATTTCAAATTAGGATTTTGTTATTAACCCTGAGATCGTACATAAATTCTAGCATTGAACTTATCGTCGAAAATTTGATTTTAGATTTATAATTTCGTCGTTATTTTTTTATCAAAACAAAAATGTCAACATACCTTGCGTTGAGTTGTCTTTTGTCACTTGTTTGAAACGCCTTGTTTTCAATATGACACATGTAAAAAATTAGAGAAAACAGGAGCTAATGGGTTTCTCACAAATATGTAAAGCCTTTACCGACTACTAATTAATATAGGATAATACAATAGATCCAGCTACTAATAATACACCATTGACCAGCGTATATAAACAGTCGAACCAACACTCAACACACAGTCTGAAGTTTACGCTCAAGCATGACAAAGGCTGCCGCCACACTGTAATGACGTCGTTGTCCACTTTTATATTTTATATTCACATAAAATCTATCCCTGATATAAGTTTTACCAATGAATATAGCATGCCATATTTATATGTGTTAATTATATATATATATATATATATATATATATATATATATATATATATATATATATATTCACCGACGAAAATATCTCGGTTCGCCCTACATCCAAAAATATAAACAAAGTGAAAATCCTGTGTGTATGTTGTGTGTGTGGGGGGGTATGTATGTATATGCGTATGTGTATATACATATGTATATATGTATCTGCTGATTCGTTATTATAAGACAGTATGTATATAATGGGAGGGAATATAAATATGCAGGCTAAAATGATACGAAAATCATTGTGTACAAAGTATGTGTTTTGACGGCCCTCCGGTATGGAAGCGAAACATGGACACTCTATAAACATCAACTAAAACTTCTTGAGGATTTCCATCAACGGTGTCTGAGACAGATACTTCATATCACATGGCAGTCCCATGTCTCAGATACAGAAGTATTAGAGAAAGCAGGGCTACCAAGCATTCAGTCGATGGTAATGAAAAATTGTCTCCGATAGTCGGTCACATTGCGCGTATGGATGACAGTCGTCTACCAAAACGTCTGTTCTATGGTGAAATGTGAGAAGGAAAGAGAAATGCATCAAAGCCGAAGAAGAGATTTAAGGACACAATAAAATTTTATCTGAAACAATCTGGACTATCGGTAGACCAATGGGAAAAATAGCTTTGGATAGAAGTAAGTGGCGGAACCTAATTCACAAAAGCATTGAGTCCTTTGAGAATAGCCGTATGCAGTACAGTGCCTACAAACATCTGACTCGTAAAAGCGAACAGGGTCCAGCAACGGGTCCACAAATTCACCACGTTAATTGTGACATATGCGGAAAATTGTGCCTATATTTTGCCGGCTTCAAAAGCCATTTGCGTAAATGTGCAAAACCTAGTGTGCACCCGAATAATGTCACTGTAAACAAAACTGATCGGGTATGCCAATTCTGTGGCAAAACTTGTCGCAGTTTGGCTGGCCTGAAGAGTCACCTGCGAATACATAGAATTTGAGGGGAGTGGAAGGGGGTGTGAGGACATGAAATAAAGGGGGTGGTCACGCTCGAAACCGAGAGGACAGTCACGGTATATACATATGCATATATGTATCTGCTTATTCCTTATTATAAGACAGTATGTATGTAATGCGAAGGAATGTAAATATGCAGGCTAAAAGGGATTGGAAGATATCTCTCATCAACACATCTATTATCACCAGGTCTCATACCAAACCTAATGGTTTTATTAACACTTAGGCAGAAATTCACTTTTGTCAACAGTCCAGATAGGGGTTCAATGCTTGCTAACAATTACAGAAAACAAATATTGAGACATTAAATTAAGGAAAATCCATTCCTTTTAAAAATTAAAAATTATTCCTTTTACTTGCCTGAAGAAAGTTACGAGACCAGAAATACGTGTAGCAGAAGTAGGAAGAATAAAATATAATATACTAGCAGTAGAGCCCGGCGTTGCCCGGGGATGCAACAGTAAGAGATAGATCAAGTATCGACCATCATAAAGACTGCAAACTAAAATTGACAAAGATTATTCTTTGAGGTTGACGGACACGCATGTCTTAATTAGTTTTTTTTTTTTTTACGAATTGGTCAAACCCAAACTCGAACAAAAATATTGTTTTCAATCGTTATTAGTCTACCGATTGAATAGAATTTTATTATAAACAATTGTCTTGTAAATGGAATTTTTAAAGCATTCTGAATGTAAAAATGAAGAAAAAGTGTGCAATACAATAAGAAACACTACCTTCCAAAAAAAGTGAAGTTTTGTTGAAATCGGTTGAAAAATGTAGGAAATCCGATCCCATATATAAACGAACACACACACACAAACTGGGTTTTATAATAAGTATAACTCGATATGAGTTGTCCCCAGTTCATTCTCGTGATGCCTCTTAATCGCGTTTTCAAATTGATTTCGTGCAAAAACAATTGTGTTTCCAATTTTTGGTGCTGTCAGAACCACCGCAAGGTAATTTTATGTAGTCCTGTGAAGTTTTGTTGAAATCAGTTGAAAAATGTAGGAAATCCGATCCAATATATAAAAGAACAGACACACACACACACACACACAACCCGGGTTTTATAATAAGTATGATATACTAAAGCAAATCCACATTATAACCCCAAAACATTTGCGGTTTTTCTCTTTTTTTAAAATATACATTTTTCTCTCGTTGAAATAACTATATCCTTTTCCACCTCTCTCTCTCTTTCTCTCTCTCACAATCTCCCCCTCTTCTCTCTCTCTCTCTCTCTCTCTCTCTCTCTCTCTCTATATATATATATATATATATATATATATGTGTGTGTGTATAATTTTACTTTGAGAGATTGCATCTCCAACAGTAACAATTAACATTAGATGCTTACATTGGCCATACATGCACTACACTCTCACGAAAGTTAACTTGTCATTTATAAAAATTTGGTGCAATCCGTGCACATATGATAAATAAGCAAAATAATATTAACATGACACAATTTTAGTTGACAGCATCAAAATTCTATATAGGACACATTATAAAGAATAACTCCAAATTCCTGAGGCTATTGTAATAAAAGAGAACCGCCCAACAGTGTATACAGTATCTTTCTCCACAGGGGGGACTGAATATTGAAGTGTATTAAACACACACACACACACACACACACACACACACATAAAAATTTCAGTTAGACCATTTATATGACGTCATCTTGAGTGAGTGTAAAATAGATTCACATCAAACGTTTGAAATTGATTTTATCACATTAATGAGACGTTGCCATTGATTGGCGTCAAGTTCTCATCAGTTTACGTTTAAAATTTCTAGATGTAACCATAAGTTCTGTGATAAAAGTTCCTTCCATAACACTTCTCGCTTGTGGAACTCTCTTCCGGCTTCATGCTTTCTAGTCAACTTTGATCTTCAAAAACATAAATGCAATGTCAATCGTTATTTTTGTCTTAATTTTTGTTCTTTTATTGTCCTCTTTCCTCAATAGCAGTTTTTCTCCTATTCTCTAACCTCAATGCGTCTTAGTGGTTTTATTGCCTTGCTTGGTGCGAAATGATTGAAAAAAACGTCAGGCCGCTGTAATGAAAACGCAGTTACATAACGACACACACAGCAATCCTTGAAAACGAATTAGAAAGAATTAGGAAAAAAATGATATAAGATAAATGTTACAATGAAATTTGGCAATGTTACCAATAAAACAGAAGAGCTTATTCGGAAATTTAAAAGATTTATTAAAAATAGATTGTGATAATAGTGATAGACATAACTTGTCCATATTATTTTACAAACAAATATTTGAGAGAATTCTTGCTGCGAAATGCACGTAATATGACGCTATGGATATGATAAGTATTTGGGGATGCCTGTCAATCTCTCTCCTTTTACCTTTCTCTCTCTCTCTCTCGCTTTTTATCTATCTCTCTCTCTATCTATATGTCTGTCTGTATATTTGAGATTAACACAACTGTACATTATACAGACAGTAATTTTCAAGCAGTTGTAGTTATAGTTTTCGGAGAATGTTGAGAGAATTATTATTTTTTTTCTTTTTCATTTGCAGTCGTCTTTATCGTTTCATCTGTTTCATATATAAATCATTCGTGGTTAAATTTGAACAAATAACCAATAGACGATGTTCCTTTAAGCAAAGAAATAATATTGCTGTGAAGCATTCAAATATAATATAAAAGGAAATTAAGTCCGATATTTTATTTTTTTTTTTTACCCAGTTTTGATTAAAAAATAATAACGAAGAAATGCAATAACGGGTTATACAAAAAAAAAAAAAAGAAGCAAAATAGGTTTTTCTTTGTTTTCTTTGTCATTGGCTTAAATCAATAGGAATTTTGGGACACAAATATCAAAATCCGACAAAGGAGTTTGATAGTAAAAAATAAATCAATCTCTCAAAATGTTAAATGACATTGACAAAGACAGATATAAACATCACTAGACTGACATTCAAGTGATTAATTATTTTTTTCTAACTGCTTATTCGTCAATACGTCATTCCTCTTAATTTTATTGTGATTTATTATCATATTTACTTGTTTTAAAATAATTATCTTTGCTCTTTTGTAAAATGTTGTATTCTTTTGCTGTTTATCGAATTTTGCAATAAAAATGCGACAGAATCCGTCGGCAGCCAGACAGATCTACACAATGCATTAAAATGGCCGCGGGCTGCAAAGGAATGTTTACCATTATCTGGGAAAGATACTGTCTATGTTAGGCGATCATTAGAGGTTTCTGGGTCAAATGCACAGTTCTATGAAATACATGAACTTGGTGGTTTACTCTTATACACGGGGGTATTAATTTTTTCATTATTCTACAAACGGGGGTAGGTTAATAATATTGTTGCCGGAAAATCATTTAAATTATCAAAAATCTGAAAATAATACAAAAGGGATGATTTTAATACCCTCGAAGGTAGAAAATTTCACCATAAAATAAAAGTTTGATTCCCGTCTATTACAGCAGAATCCCTGACAACCGGTCTAAGAACGCCTTCCGGATATGAGGAATTGGTTGTAAATTCCGAATATGAGGGATTAATTAAAATAAAAGAACTGAAATCAGGTTTAACATTTATTTTCAATGTTTTATAGTAAACAAAATAAGCTAATAGTGAGTGAAATATACGGATTTAATTTTAAGGAAAAATAAATAAATTACGTAATGTTAACGAAAAATTATTAAATTAAGTATGCCACGTATGCAAAACAAATAATGTAACGAGGATTTTTTTAATCGTTGTTGCATTATGATTCTTTCTGTTCTAATGTTATTCTCAACTTTTTCCGCATTTCGTTTTGTTCTTAAAATTTTTTTAACAAAAGACACTTTTTAACTCTGCGTGCCGTTATTGCAATCGTCATAGCTGAATTCTGGCTTTCTTTCCATAAAACTAAAAACATTTTCAATAGCTTTTTCAATTTCATCCAGGTTTCATCACAACCATGTTTTTTTTTATTTGCTTGTTCATTTTGATAGTTTGAACGCTGGAGAATAGTTTCTTTGGAATATTTTATATCATACAATGTTGACTTTCAGAGTTGAATTCAGCCATTAGTTTCAATGAACTTTCAACAGCGTCTAGTCTGTTTAAAATATCATTATTGCGATAACTCCAAAGTTCTTTAGCTTTTTCCTTTTATTCCCATCATCTTTTGCACCAATAGAAGCCATTAAGGTGAAATAAGGTTAAGCAATTATCCAAAATAAATTTCCTGAAAAACAGAAATTTCAAATCAGTTATATATCAAACAAATAGTTCAAATATACATATCGAAATCATGTCCGGATATGCGAGATTCCGGATTTGAGGCCCTCCGGATATGAGGGATTCTACTGTATTTAGTAATTTATGTAAAAAGCGCTAGTTTTATAAAGACCGAAGAGTTATACTACTTTTCATTGAAAACCTTACTTGAGACGAAATGAAAAGATTAATTTCAGAAAATATGTTTCTTTTTTTTATAGGATACAGACCAAGATATTTAGTGAACTATTTTATGTTAGTGTACTATAGTATGATTAGTATCTTCAACTATATTCAGTACATGAAATCATTCTGTCAATAAAGTAAAGACGGTCAGGCTATCCATATATCTAATTTCTACAAAGAATTGTTGAAGAGTTCGCAGTGTATGATCACCTGAGGGCGGCTTTTTTTTATCGCTTGAATTATCCAAAAAGCTCCTTTTCGAAAATGGAGTATTTATTATGTTCTTTCTTCTATAAGAATAGAGGGAAATCAATTGATTATTTCGGCACTGAAGGCATGAAACGCTACATTCATTGCTTATGTTTCTGCAAAATAGTTTCTTGCACTTGTAGGAAGGTCAATGTCATATAGAATTCGATAACTTTAATATTTGGAATATGAATTTGAAATATCACCCTAACTACATGTAAAGTCGTACTGCTGTTAAACATTGAACATAAAGACATCAATTCCCAACAATAGAACGATACAGATATGGCGGTTCGCATGAATCTCACAAAAGGGAAGAATACAATACGTATTATGGCATCATTTTGCTTAAAACGTAGAAATCCCTGCTAGAGTATAACTATGATGATAATGAACGTATCCTATTTACATTATTCGTATTATTGTCCTCATTTTTGTCAACATATATATTACAACGTTTCGGCCGTTGTACGCTCCGGCCTTCTTCAGGTGTGTGGATTGTCAAACTGAACGCTTTATTTCGCTCACTGGGGTAGACGGTTCTAGTTCCAAGTGCGATATGTAAATGATGTCAGTTATCAGTTATCTCCTGTCAATTTTAAAGGCAGTGGAGAACTTTCCATAGCTGATAACTGACATCCATTAAACATAGCACGTGGAACTAGAACAGTCTACCCCAGTGAGCAAAATAAAGGGTCCAGTTCGACATTCCAACCACCTGAAAATGGCCGGAGCGTATAACGGTCGAAACGTTGTAATATATATGGTGACAAAGATGAGGACAATAGTCCGAATAATGTAAATAATGTACATAATACCTTATCTCTAAAATTTAGACGGATAATGAACGTATCTATTTCCAAGTTTGCTTCTCGAAACTGACATCAATTTACGAACTTAAAAAAAAGATTATCCATTAATCATAAGAATACAGAAAGCATCCCGTTCTCGATAATACGATAAACGACATCCATCAGCGAGGCCTCTCTCTGATCAGGAGGTTTTCAGGAGTGTTGACCTACCTCTTAATCAGTAGTCTAACCAGGTCCACTCTGACCCGGGGTGGTAACACCTGTTAAGGTCCCAGCTGTGTGTTAAACCCCAAAACAGGGGTTTAAATGTGTAAAAATAGGTTTATTACCAATAATAAATTTTTGAAAAAAAATTATCAGCAATACATTATTATCAGCAATACATTTTTGAAAAAAAATATTGCCAACAATAAAAAATTTGTCGCCATTAAATAACCCATTGAGGTGTTGATATGCCGTAAAACAAACCAAACCAAACAAACAGAAAGCATGCTCATTAGCAAAAATCGATAATCCAACGTATGAATTACATATTGGAGACGGGCGTTAGAATCCATCAAGTAAAGCTACTACCTGATGGTTTGTTTTGCTTTGGCTTGGTTTGTTTTACGGCATATCAACACTTCAATGGGTTATTTAATGCCGTTAATATTTTTATTGCTGATAATTGTTTTTCAAAAAAAGTATTGTTGGTAAAAATATCCAAAATGTATTGCTGGTATTAAAACCTATTTTTATACATTTATACTGTTTTTATCCCTTTTGTCGGGTTAACTACCAGGTGCTACCACCCCGGATCAGAATGGAGTTGGGAAAACCAGCAATTAAGAGGTGGTTCCATGCTCCTCCAAATCTTCTGATTAAGGCCTTGTTGTTGGATGTAGTTTATCGTCTTACCCAGGACGCGCGTGTAGTTTATTGTCTTGCCCAGGAGGCGGATGTTAGTTTATCGTCTTACCCAGGACACCCAATGCGGGGGTATCACCCATCTACAGATATACAGTCGAGTTATTCTACAGCCACAGTCGACAGGGCGTACTATCTGATGGTTATAGCGGCAGATGATGTATATATGACACACAGATTCAAATAAACGTATCATTAACGAAACATTCCCAAAATCTAAACAAAGTCTTCAAATGTGGAAACTTTATAAGAAACAAAGAAACGATTGCTGAATAGTTACGTAATATCTAATCACTTATACAGCATTGAATAATAGACAATCTCTTCACAGATAAAGTCAAGATATATAAGAGACGTGGTTCTATCGGTAGACGTCAATAAGGAATACCATGAACTCAACGTACTAGCAAGGAGGACTTTCTAAGAAAAATAGTGATTAAAAAACACATTCAAAGAGAAATAATTTGAATTACTTACATACTAAATGAGGAATTAGAGCGTGGAAAATTTAATACTCACAAGAGATTAAAAGCAAGAGAAGTACAGCAAAATAGTAAGTAATCATTTTGTGTAGATGGGCCACATAGGTGTATAAAAAAGTTTAATATCATTTTTCTATTTTGTCTGACATTCCCGGCGTGGGTGTTTATGGCTGTCTACAACCTTTTACCTCTTGTAGCTCATAGGAACGTTTGCCAAGCCTCTCGCTCCCTGTTCTGCCATCCATTCAAATAACCTTGTCAGGTACGTGGCCTACTAAAATCCCTTGACTTTTTTCCTCCGATATGACATGTGAATACCAAATTTGCCAAGCCTTCCTTCCTCATTGTATGTCCAAGAAATTTCAGCTATCTTTGAGTAGAAGTGTCCATTTTCTTTTAATTTTCTTAGCTGCTTACGCACTCCATTCATACTATTCTCAGCATCCTTCAGTAGAACCATATTTCTATCGACATCATTTTTTTCGTCTTTAGGCATTACGTAAATATTTATGATGATTTTCATTATTTCTAACGCGATTTTCTTGTCCCTTAGTACTTGACTTAGCTTTAGAATGGCATCTTTTAACATTGAAATTACTCTTGTGTCGTATTTTCTATCCTCTATTAAACCCCCTTTAAAGGACAAAGCAACAACTCATTTAATATAGTCAAAGGAGATTTGTACATCTATTCTCGCAGTAGAAATAATGGACATTTAAAGAAATGATTCCCAACGTGGGATGTTTACCATTCACCTTTCCATACCAACAGGAGCTCAAATTTCATTCAACATTATTATTTCATGATTAAAATGATGAAAGTACATTACAGAATAAACTTTCATTCAAATATTTTATATTTCTGCTTTTCAGTTCTCTATTATTTATTTTCAAACTATATATATATAACTGTCTTTTTTGTTTTTTTTTATTTTTTCTCTTTCATGGATGCCTTGGTCTTTGGAGGCTTGTTAAGACACCAAGTTAATGGCCATCTAAGCTTCCTTCACGTGAACTGTTGTAAAATTTAGAATATGTAAGAATTATATATTACAGTTACCCGAATTTTAGAAATACCAATGTGAGACATGAACCAAAATCGGTTGTGAAACACTGATTTAAAGTGAATAAATACATTTCGTAAGTACAAGAATTTATATTTTTAGCGCAAACCAAAACGAAAATCAACAATAAAGCGTACCACTCCAGATGAATAGAAATAAAGGAACATGTTGATGGAATTTTGTGCTCCGAAATATTTGACTCTCTGGTAAACAATAGTCTAATAATTAATGAAATATATATTTATTTCAAGAAGGACCTACTAATGTAAGTACAATAATTATAAGTTTTATTTATTTCAGTTCAGACAAGTGATAAATATCAATTCTTCGGTAAGCGGTCCACAAATAATAATACCTGTCTTTTGATGTCTGTTTACGAACTGTATAATCTTTTTACTTTTGAAGAAATATGGGCCTTGGTTTCAGACAAATAGGCAACGTCTTAATGTTCTCATTTAGAATTAAAATGAATATTGTCGGGTAATATTATATCTTCGTCAAAAGACTAAAATGATCCTCATTGATGTATATTTTGTTTGAGGGGGGAGGTTTAAATTCACTGACAATAATTATTTCTAGTTTTCAAAATGACGAAATATGGCCTATAGAATTTAACACTTACTTGACATATTGAATGCAACTGAAGCAGCGGAAATGCACGTGATATACATAATACATTGGCTGCTAAGTAACTCGTTTTTTATAATAACGCCGACCCCGAGATATTTCGTATTTGTCGTCTTGCTATTAAGGCCCGCAACATTTTTTTTTTTTAAGGCAAGAAAGTGGTACCTGGCTTCTAAAACAGGAATGAAACATCGTACTGGAAACTAAAAAAGAAAAAAAATATTATTCGCAGGAATACTTTTATTATGAAAACATTTTTAAAGGTTCAGGTGGATCTATAAATCAACTCATAGCACTTTTTTATTGTCTAAGTTGGTTATTATGATTTTGCCGTTTGAAGAAAGAGAGATCTCGTAATTGACCTCTAGAAGTCAACGTATTGACGTGTTTGTAAGAATAGATGACAAAACAAAGACATAGAGACGTGGTAAATGTCAGATATTCGTTGGATATCCTGAAGAATCATGACAATACATTATCAAATAAAATTCTAAAATATAGAGAAGTAATTATTGTCAGTGAACGTCAAAATCTTAAGCTCTTTACCTTGATAAGCAATAAAAAGCTTATTATATAGCTTAACCCCACGCACAAAATATTATTCAACTTGTGAAAAGATATTAAACGTCATGTCAGAATTCAAGTTTGTTTGAATTTCTGAGACAAAATATAAATAGTGTTATAACCAAGGGAAGATTCCTGAATAGAATAATCACACGAAGGTTGGTAATGAACGATAATACTTAGGACAAGAACAACACATATAAGATTAGCCAGCGGCGCGTAGAAGAAGTAGTCAACTGCTAGAAGCGAGTCAAGTGAATTCTGCAATGAATCTCCAACTGCAGGATATCTACAAACCGCCCCACGTGGTCAGATTTGGCACAAGGCCGAATTTAATCTGGGTTATCCCAGCCCGTAGGCTCGGCCAAAAATTACCCGGAGACCCTATATAAAACGGGGTCAGGTAGCTGTTTCCCAAGACGAGACTCTGCATTTCGACATAGCCTCGTCTGGGGATTCTATCTGCCCGGAGGCAGAGAGTTTGACCAGCACAGCTGGAGACAAATATCCGACTACATGATACCTACAAACCGCTCCACGCGTTCAGATGTGACAAAAGGCCGAATTTAATGTGAGGTATCCGAGCCCGTAGGTCCGGCAAAAAAATTCCCTGTAGACCCCGTATAAAACGGGGTCGGATAGGTGTTTCCCTTCGACATAGCCTCATCTGGGGATTCTCTATGTCCGGAGGCAGGGAGTTTGACCAGTACAGCTGGAGACGAATCTCCGACTGCAGTCCAACATACAGTATTTACTTCAGTATTTATGTGAATCGAGACATACCTATTATCGTCCATAGGTATGCTACAACAAATAGTATAGATGAGGCAATGTATACATTAATGAAAATAAATGAACAACACTAAGATATATGTGAGTAGAAAGAAATAAAAAAAAAATATTGCAGCAACCATCACCAAAGATATCACGAGGAAAAACACTTAAGAAAACATCCGCAAAGTTATTAATCCTGATCTGGCATCTCAACCTCAGTCACTTTCTCACCACAACGTTTAAATAATGATGAATTATTGTAAATATTTATATTAAAAGCTAAAACAATTGGAATTCATAACGTAGATTTATATAATAAATCTCAGATTATCCTGAATATTTGGCCATCCTTGTTTGCTTTTTTCCAAATTGTATGTTACAAATATTGACTTACAGAATGAAATATGACATTGTTCGGATTGAGGAATTGGAGAGCCAAGTTCGAATTACATTGTTTTCTTCTCCTCCCATCTATGACCAAATAGCAGGGCAGACCGGGTTCTATAGCTTTGGATGGCAACTAGTCTACTGCAGAAAGAAATGACAACCTACTGTCGGAAATAAACTGCCTCGTCAGTCACGTATCGAAATATATATGATCGCATAAGCGTGTATCATGCATAGCACATAGCTGACTGACTGACAATTTTTTCTGGCATTGGAGATTTGCAAATATATTCTGGCCGATTCTCTGTAAATAATAGACATTTAAAGTCAATAAATAAATTTCGAAAGCGTGAGAATTTGTCCAGGGTGCGATGAGTAAATTGTCACCATTTTATATTTTTAATTTCGCGCATGTTTGTTGTTTGCTTTTTTTATTATTTTGTTGACACAACAGCATATTAGCGTCAGTTGTGGGAGAAAAAGTTCAGCATGTCCTAATTCATTCCGCCATATTTTTGGAAACGGTATGCTGTTCTGTTTGGCATTCGAACTGGAAGCTCCAATAGGAACATTTTACTGTTTGTGTGTCAATCTGAGGACAGTGCAGAGGATTCGGAAAAAGATGGATGATATACCCAGTCAACATCATGGTGTTTGGAGTGAATACTTGCGATGGCGATGTTATACGCCCATTCATCTTCCCACAGGGCCTCAGACTCAACACGGAGGCCTACATCAAGTGTCGAGGAGGTAGCGCTGCCCTGCGTCAAGTGAGTGTCTGCTGGAAGACCCTATGTCTGGCAACAGGACTCTGCATCATACCATACAAGCAGGAGAACTCAGTCAAGGTTGTCAGACAATTTCTGCGAACACATCGCCCATACATATGGTCATCTAACTCCTCAGACTGCAACACCCTTAATTCTTAAGTAGATGGGGGTATAGTTGAGCGAGAGACAAACAAATCTCCTTCTAACACAAGAGATGAATTGAAGGCAAGGATAATGGCAGCAATAACACTCTTAAACAAATAAACATTCCAGAATAGATGCAAGAGTTTCCGAAATCGTCTGAAGACCGTGATTGAAACTAATTCGATTTTATTGAATAAATTTATTCTTTCGTATTTCAAGATATATATATATATATATATATATATATATATATATATATATATATATATATATATATATATATATTAAACATTGGTCAAGATATCAGTTAAAATGAGACGTCAGTGTTATTTTAATTTTTGAGTAATTTCGATGAAAATTTATCATTCTCACCTTGTATCTGTTGCGCAAACCATAAAGAAATCTTGGAAGGTTTTACTGTTTCATCTTTCGTCTCTGTTCTCGGCCATTTCAGCGAATTTTTTTTTTATTTTGAACTTATTCTGAAGGTCATTATATAATGAAGGCGACAATTAAGTTTCTGTTTTGAGGTTTTCATTTTATTTGTTTGTTTTTTTTCTAGTTAGGTAGTTTTTCTTATGTTACACAGATTTCGTTGACACCGTAAGTTTGCTACATATGAAGCTGAAACGCATACAACACAAGAAGAAGTCAGTGGAAGCAAACTGTACTGAGACTGTTTCCGTTAATAAGATGAACTGGAAATCCTGGGTTGAAACAGTGTCTTTTTTTGTCACAAAGCAGACTAAACCTTGACACAAGGTCGCAAAATTGGATCCTACAATATGGATTGAACTTGTTACACGGGCGGAGGGTATCTACGAGATAACTTTGCTAAACCTGAAAAGAGAAACATATTCTTCTTTCTATTGAAACTTTCTGTTCTTTTCACTTTTAGATTACGTCATTTTCTTTCGTTTTGACTTCCATTCTTGCCTGTGTTCTTTTCAGCTTATTTTTCTAATTTGTTATATTGATCTATTTATGAAATATTACCGTTTATTCAATTCCAGTCTTTATTTTTTTTCCTTCCTTCCTTCTAAATATATAATTATTTACTTTGTTATACACTTTCTTTTTCTTCTTAATATTTACAAAAACATTTCTTTCTTTCATGCTTGCTCTCTTACTTTTTTCTTGCTTTCCTTCTTAATACCTAGCCAACCAATTATTTCTTTCTCTCTTTTCTTCTTAATATTCACACACACACACACACACATATATTGCTTTTTATTTGCTTTCCTTCTTAATATCTACCCAAACATTTCTTTCTTTCTTTCTTGCCTGCTTGCTTTCTTTCTTTCTTACTTCCTTTCTTTTTTGCATTCTTTCTTCCTTTCTTTTCTTTTCTTTCTTCCTTTCTTTTCTTTTCTTTCTTTCTTTCTTTCTTTCTTTCTTTCTTTCTTTCTTTCTTGATTGTATGCTTTCTTTCTTTCTTAATATCAACCTAACCTTTTTCTTTGTTTCTTTCTTTCTTTCTTTCTTTCTTTCTTTCTTTCTTTCTTTATTTCTTTCTTTCTCGTTATCTTGCTCTTTTTCTTGCTTTCCTTCTTAATATCTACCCAAACATTTCTTTCTTTTTTTCTTGCCTGCTTGCTTTCTTTCTTCCTTTCTTTTCTTTCTTTCTTTCTTCCTTTCTTTTCTTTCTTTCTTTCTTTCTTTCTTTCTTTCTTGATTGTATGCTTTCTTTCTTTCTTAATATCAACCTAACCTTTTTCTTTCTTTCTTTCTTCCTCGTTATCTTGCTCTTTTCCTTGCTTTCTTAATATCTACGCAACTTTTCTTTCTTCTTTTGTTAATACTTTGAAATTTCAACGAAGAATTTAATTTATTCTTTTTACCTTAGTTTCCTTATTCACACTTTCAATGAAGTAATTATCTTTTTCTTTCTTGCACTTTGAACATTCAAAGACGGAATTCATTTTTTTTCTTTCGTTTTTATTTCGAATTTACTATGCAATAATTCTTTCTTTTTTAATTTCTTTCTTTCTTTCAATTTGAACATTCAAGCTATGAATTCATTTTTATTTCGCACTTACTATGCAATAATTCTTTCTTACTTTCTTTCATCTAGAGTCCCGCATTATTGATTTTCCCGTCAATTTATTTTCGTTACTCTGAAACTGAATACCCAAAAGCGAAAAAATCAAGATATAATCAGGTTTTCTTTTGAATTCGATGTAAATTTCTCTGGCATCTTTTAACGAAAATCATTTTTACGTTTTCTAAAACATTGTAAGATGTTTCAATTTCTATTTCGCCTCTGTTTTTTTATAACGTTTAGAGAATTTCGGGAACCGTTATAACTTTCATTTTGTTCGGTAGGTTTCAAATGTTCCATTCTGTAAACATTCTCAAAAAAAGAACTGAATGAAATATTTGGCTGTCAACAACTCTGTACAATAATCGTTTCTTCTCGGTTCGTATTACTCCCTACGTCTCCCTTAAGAACAGTCAAGTCTTTATCTAGGTATGTATCCATCTATGGCTGTTCATATCTATCTATCTATCTATCTATCTATCTATCTATCTATCTTTTTCATATTTATATATCTATCTATATTTTTCATATCTATCTATCTATTTATGTTTTTCATATCTATCTATCTATCTATCTATCTATCTATCTATCTATCTATTTCTCTTTTTCATATTTATATATCTATTTATCTTTTTCATATCTATCTATCTATCTATCTATCTATCTATCTATCTATAAATATGTCTGTCTGCATTTCACAGTTCATATCTATCTATAAATATATTTATCTACATTCCTCTGTTCATATCTATCTATCTATAAATCTATCTGACTTCTCTGTTCATATCTATCTATCTATCTATCTATCTATCTATCTATCTATCTATCTATCTATCTATCTATCTATCTATCTATCTGACTTCTCTGTTCATATCTTTCTATGTCTGTTCATTCATATATATATATATATAAATGTATATATATATATATATATTTCTGTTCATATCTATCTATGTATCTATCTATCTGCGTCTCTTTATATCGATCTATCTATTGATCTTTATATCTATCTATTGCTGTTCATATCTATCTATCTATCTGTCTTTCTTTTTATCTATCTATTGCTGTTCATATCTATCTATCTGTCTTTCTTTTTATCTATCTATGATTCTATCTTTCTATATACTATTAAATTGAACTCTGTATCAGCATAAAAGATTAAATGTTTCTATTTGGATTTTGGTGCCAGTGGTTAAATTTCGAAAAGAAATGAGATAAGTATTTCGAATGCCGGTTTCATGCGATCAAATTTCGTTATCAAGTAAGTTAACGTTACCCGATATTTTTATCCAAAGGCAATTACTATTTTTTTGTGTGTGTAATAAAAGTGATAATGGAACAATAAAATAAACTGTATGTTCCGAATCCTAAAATATCTGCCAAAAAATCTGGAGAAAAAAAAAGTAAATTTAACTGCCTGAAAAAAATAAAATAAGATAAAACCTAGAAAGCATAATTGCTCCATAATTCTTGTCTGTGCGATTTCAACTTGTGTAGCGTTGCGGTCAATCTTTGAAAATGTTTTGTTTCTTCAACCCAATAACAATCTGTAACGATTGACCTGACGTATATTTAACTCGAAATATAACTGTCTGGATGTACAGACTAGATTAAGCGAAAATAATTTATTATATTGCCCTATTATTATAAAGCAAAGGCAAGTAAAATTAACAGGACATTATAACACGCCTTATGTATAGATTAGACAACAAAGATAAATTATATATACATATATATATAATTACATGAATCATTCACAAAAAAAAACAAATATAGAGGTTAATGATTTAAATGGCGAGAATACATCTTCGGAAACAGTTTCAATAAGATACACCAACCCCGAACCTGTATATGAATGATATGATCCCTGTTTATAAATTCCAGTTGCATAAGGTCTTTTTAATTTTTTACAAGCTTTCGTCTGTTCCTACAGACATCCTCACATATGGAAATAGATTTGTTCTTGTTTTTACTTCTCGGTAATAAGATATATATTTTTTTCGTATTACATCTATATTTTCGTTGTCCTCTTATTAGCGAAATTGTTTTTTTTTTTTTTTTTACTAACTGTTTCGCTCTATCACAGTTCATCACTGTGGCTAGACATCCGACTGCTTCAAGCTGGTATCAAAACCCGACTGATTCGGCAATAGTCGGAGATTTTGCCTTTAAGCGAACGGCGCACGTTGGAAAGAAACGGCGTATTTTTACGTATTTTCTTCTGTGACTAAACACGTGTTAATCCTTTCAGCCAAAGCGAGACGATAATGGCCATAAGAAACCATGCTTTTCTGAACGTAAAAGACATTAAGAAAAATCTATTGAGTAAAAACATCATAAGAAGAGTTGTGATGAAGGCAGAAGACTGCAATTCGCGAAATTTATTTTTTGAGAAAATCTGAGATTGCAGGGATGCAAAAACCGAAAGTTCCACAGACAAGAAATGCGAATTTTAAAACTATTAGAATAGAAATTATTGTTACGTCGAGCTATTTCAACAGTAAAGCCATGAGACCTAACTGGCAATTGGTTTTTCGATATCTATGAAGATGACACAATTATTTACACATGTCTTAATAGTAAGTTCGATCGGTTTGATGAAGTCAAATTGGGAGCAAATTTCGCGGCAGTAAGGAACATCTTGTTAATTTTAACACCTCCAAAACAAAACTACTCTTTATTAAATCATATGAGAGACTCCTTTTCGCTTTCCATCAGCATAGATAATGCTAATCTCCAGAGAAGTGTCTCGTTTCGCTTTTCGGGATAATGTTGTCCGTTGATATGAAGTGAAAATATCATATTGAATCCATTGCTAGGTTTTCTGCTAGGAAAGTTGTTTCGTAGATTTGTGCTAGACGAAAGTTGTTGATGAAAATTAAAAACAATGTAGGTCTATGGATAGTGCACTGGATGACACATAGAAAACGATCGATAAAACTGGCTTTTTCATTTTTTTTTATTGTTTATTTAGAATTTTAAACGTTTCCCTCAGTGCATAGCTTGAAACAGTCCGAGTAAACGACATAAATACTGATTATGTTTGATGTTTCTTCAATTTTGTAAAGTTTCGTTCAAACTTTCATAACATTGATGAATTTTCGTATTTTTAGAAACAAGAAACTCTCATAATTTTTTCGTTTCGTCAAAGGAATAAATTAGAAACCTGCTTTACTATTTTGTCGGTATTTCAAGTCCGACTGTTTGGGGAAAGGGAAGGGAGATATCCTATAATGACAACTATTAGAAGTTAAAGCCAAATTCAGCAAAGAAAGAAAGAAATGATAACGAATTTTTACTTGTTACTGGAGTAATCTTGCCGGGAAAACCGTTTGTGTCAAATTGCAACAAAAAATATCACTATATGTTGCCTACAAGTAATTCTCCTTGTAGAAGTAATGATAGTGTTAGGACTCTTATTAACAGTTTCGATAACATGTTCAGTCAGCTTCGAAAAAGGGAGCACAGTCGTAACGAAGGAAGAAAGAACACTCTCACTGCTTTTGGCTATTTTTGCATTTTTATATCTCGAAGAGAACACATATGCAAATTTTGGCTTCTCTTCAATCAGATGGTGTCGACTGGAACTCATTTCTATACATTTTCTGCGGAGACGAAATATAATGAAAGTTATTTTTTGTCACAAGATTATTTCTCCAATTTCCACGCACAATTTTGTAACTGTCTATATTACTGTGATGAGGTATTATGTACACTACATTATTCGGACTATTGTCCTCATCTTTGTCGCCATATTTATTACAACGTTTCGGCCCTTCATCATCTGTCTATATTTCTGATATGTGGTACTATGTGCACTATTTACATTATTGGGACTATTGTCCTCATCTTTCTTGCCATATTTATTACAACGTATCAGCCTTTCAGTATCTGTCTATATTTCTGAGATGAGGTATTATGTACACTATTTATATTATTCGGACTATTGTCCTCATCTTTTTCGCCATATTTATTACAACGTTTTGGCCTTCTTCAGGTGGTTAGAATGTCGAACTGAACCATTTATTTCGCTCACTGGGGGAGACTTTTCTAGTTTCACATGCCATGTAAGACCTCCGCCCCATAGAGAAGAACATGACTAAAGACTAGTTGTAAGCTATCCCGTGCAGCTGCGGAAAGAAATATAAAGGGGAGGCAGACCGCCCCCTTAAGGTAAGGCTTCAAGAACACCAGAAAGCTGTAACACGAGGGGAAGTGGAAAAAACAGGCATGGCTGACCACATATGGTGACAAGGAATGTGAGTTCAATACCTGGTTAAGGCGGTGGAGAACTTGGAGAGAGGAATGAACAGGAGATAACTGATAACTGACTTCCATTAGACATGGCATGTGGAACTAGAACAGTCTATCCCAGTGAGCGAAATAAAGGGACATTCCAACCACCTGAAGAAGGCCGGAGCGTACAACGGTCTAAACGTTGTAATAAATATGGCGACAAAAGTGAGGACAATAGTCCGAATAATGTAAATAATGCACATTTTTATTCTGCATTTTTATATTAACGTTATCTTTCAGTTTAAAATTGAAAAATGGAATTTATTTAATTGTCAGATAGTTAAATATGCATGTGTAATTTGAATAAAATATATTTAATAAATTCCCGGATTATGAAAAATCCTTCAATACACATACATCTTGAATTTTCAAACATTATTTTTTCTAAATTTAATTATTCCGTAATGTGTCATGGCAGCGGCGTTTGTTACTCATAATCAGTGATAATATTATACCAAGGCTTCAATTATTTTATAGAAAACATCTTTTTACCAAAGCGAAAACAACTTTTTCCTATTTTGTAAGGCAGATGCTTAAGTTTGTGATATACTGTAGCAAAAATGGTTGAGATAAATTACATTCAATCTTTTTAGTCGTACAGCCCGCCAGATGAGCCATGTCCTTGCTACCTGTTTCTAAAGAAAAATGTTGCCCATACCTGGCTTAGAGATTGAGGGGTATACTTGTAATGACAAAAGTTCGCAGATGTAGGTTTTAAGAAAGCTTTATTCAGCTGAAAATACAAGATTCGAATATAGTGTCCTTTTATAATCCTAGTTAACAGAAATGGCTCTCTCAAAGAGGAGAGTAACAAAACTAGGGTCGACCATTCTTGATTATTCTTAACAGTACATAAAAATACAAACCGAAATCGGAAACGATATGGGAAATATTGAAGTAGGAAATAAAACAATGATCCACAAACAACTTTAGGTGTTTTTTAATGAAAGTTATCATCTCTATGAGCTATATTGGCTCAACGCAAATTAATTTCAGAGACATTTTTGAATTTGAGTACATAGCGCAAGATTACCGTTTGTTCCAAATGAATCATGATAAAAATGTCAGGCAAAAAAGTCACAGGAAATGCCACAAGACAATATTTCTGCGTATTTTATTTAATAGAAAGTTTAAGTTTTGAATTCTCAATTCGCATTAATACTTGCATTTAATGAAAAATAATTTAATGCCGTACTATGTGTTTTTCTTTTTTAAGTTTGTGCCAAAATCTTACACAAACAATGTAGAACCTATAAGAAGTTAATTTATGCTGAATTAAGTGCCGAAATACAGATTTTATTAGCGAAACAAGGCCTCATTAGGTTTGTTCGTGTCCTGAATTGGCCTATAATCTAAGAAAGGTCGAATTCAGTCGAATATTTTAGGATTTATAGAATTTGTTCTTTTTCAATAGTAATTCATTCTAGCAACAAATAGTAGACGATCATGTGAACTATTGAGTATAAAAATGAATCAATTATATAGTAAATTAAATTATAAATAAATTCAAATATATAACTACATTTTGAAATATTAAAAAAATCTATTACACTTAAAATTAAATATTAAATGATGTAAATCTTGTAAAAAAAATTCTTCATAAAACGTTTAATATCAATTTCAGTTTTCATCAGGATTGGAACTGATTAACTTTAATTAAACTGTAATTTCTTTGACAGAGGATATCCGGACAATATCAAACATAGATTCATAAAGAGGGTCACTTATTCGATATACTGCACAACTAGGGTTCACCAGGACACGTTAATGTCCGACTTGATACTCATAAAACCTATAAACCCTATCGTCATATATTGTCAATTAACAGCTGATTTAAAATGTTTTTGTCTAATTAATT